AAAAAAAAAAAAAAAAAAGAAGGAGGAAGGAAAATCTGACATAATAACTGAGCTTAAAGGCCAAGGATACAAAACTCTGGGACCTATTATACATGCTTCAGAAACTCTGAGTTTGTGTAAAGTACTGACATGTACTGACATTTCCAGGGAAAGCTTGCCAGGTTTAAGTTCCTGGGCCCCATCTTTAAAGGTGGGAGTTTGGCATTTGCAGCCTAAAGTCTATAGGACAAAAGTCTTGACCTCCAGAAAAAGGAAATTGGGCCCAAGCCGAGTGGGAAAGAATATTTTCCTTTCTTCTTCTTAAAACAAGGATTTTTGTTCCCTTAAAATCACACCATATGGGGCAGCCACCTAAACCAAAAATTCTGGTATAACCTGGAGTGAGGCTTTGAAAACTGGTTTTATTTTCCGTTCCACACTTGGTCTTTCTTTCTACCAGACCCCATAAGGTTGGTTTACTCCTCCCGTTTCACAGGCTATTAATCGTGTGGAGTAGTGGATAGGGCACACTCTCAAGGAGAACACTGCCAGAGAAGGACTGCAAAAAAGTGAAAAGGGCCAGAAGGATCCAATTATCTTGGACTTCAGTTTATTTTATGTAAGCTTGGAAGCCCATAACTTTCCTTTAAAAAATCTTGTTTCTTGTCCAAATGTTCATGTTTTCTCCAAGGCACAAGGTGAACATTCAGAAAAGTGGAGGAAAATCCCCATAGCCCTGTCAGCACCGAGAACAGGAAACATACAGCTTCCTCACTGTAACATACTAATTTGTGATCTTCTCATCACTTCTACTAAGTGGAAATATTTGAAATTTAATGTGTAAAATGGAACTTTGTAAAATTGTGACTTGTCTTTTAAGAGTTGGAGTACACACACCTAGAGCTTTGACTACATGTAATCCTAAACTGTCTGCTCAGTGTCGTATAGTATCCATCAAAAGTGATTTAATATTTTCACTAGTCTTTTAACCATGTATAGATAAACAAGGTTTGAGAACTACTATGAATTACAAGTTAAACAGTAGTCAACAAAATGGAGCTGTATACAAATTGCAAAATATAATAGTATTTATAGACTTAAAGGGATCTTTTTTTTTCTTTTGAGACAGTCTTGCTCTGTCACCAGGCTGGAGTGCAGTGGCGTGATCTCAGCTCACTGCAATCTCTGCCTCCCAGGTTCAAGCAATTCTCCTGCCTCAGCCTCCCGAGTAGCTGGGATTACAGGCACTTGCCACCACACCTAGCTAATTTTTGTATTTTTAGTAGAGACGGGGTTTCTCCATGTTGACCAGGATGGGCTCAATCTCCTGACCTCGTGACCCGCCCACCTTGGCCTCTCAGAGTGCTGGGATTACAGGCGTGAGCCACCGTGCCTGGCCTAAAGGGATACTCTCATTACATTAGGCTCTGATTTAAATCTAAACTTAATTGCATCTAATTGAGTTTCTTCTACATGCAAAGTAACTCTGGACTTTGGAGATGGAAGATTATAATGGTCATCAAAACACTGTCTTTCCTGGCAAGTTGCTCATAATTTTGTGGAATGAATAAGAAAGAGACATATTTCTGATACAAATAAAGTGCTTTGGGAGTTCACAGGTAGGTATGATCACAACTAGGCAAGAAATTAAGAAGCCCCATGAAAAAAGCAGCATTTTAAGATAGGGCCTTGGAGGACAGGCAGGATTTCAACAGGTAAAGATGGGATAAAACAATTTAAGCAGACAAAAAATCAAAAACACAGGCAATGAAGATAGGAAAACACAGTGAATTCCTGCAGAAACTTCACTTTGGTCATGTAGCTTAACAAAATGACTGAATTGGTTTTGGTATAGCCCTTTAATTTATCACTCAATAAGGATTCTCATATTTTAAGGCTCTCTGATTTGGTTATCCGCGAAGCTTATTAAAATGTCAATCCTTTGGCTCCACTCTTTGACAAATAAGATTCACTTGTCCATCCGGGAATATGCATTTTTAATAAGCACTCCAGTTAGCCTAGGTGCCAAATTTTGAGAAACTCAGACTAAGTAAAAGGAGAATACAAATAGATCCTAAAAGGTAAATGTAGTGTAAGAATAAGGAGTTTTTTTNAAACAAATAGTAGCTAAAAGTCTTGTTAATTTCAGTACAGGTTGAATAGCCTGTGGGGTCTTCAATAACAATTGGTCTGCCCTAGTCTCTAGAATATGAAATGATCGCAAATTAAGATATCTGAGAAAAGGCAATGTGACTGTGATGTGAGGCTGAGTGACAATCTTCTTGCTGTCTCCAAGTAATTAAAAGAGTACTTCTCAAAGCAGAGACAAAACACAGTCTGATGAAGAGGAAATGGCTTTCAGATCTCAGTAGAGAGGTTTAGACTTAGCTAAGTAAAATAACTTCCTGGCAGAAAGGCAATGTTCACAATAACTGCATTGTCTGTCTGCACATATGTATTTCCTCTCTTAATGAAATTGATATATGTGGGAACTCATAGAAGATGTTGAAGCACTCCAGCCTAGGAGACAGAGCAAGGCTCTGTCACTTAAGAACAACACCAAAAAAAGGAATTAAGTAATTTGATAATCTAGTATTTTTAATGATTCACTTTATTTAATTAAAACCCAGATGCGCATTTTGGTGGGGGAGTTTTAAGGTGCTATTAACTAACATCTTCATAGATAAAAGCAGCTTGCATAAAGTAGGTCTCAGCAAAATGACACAAAAAGCTGTTTCTAATATTCATTTGAACGGGACTTCACCTGGACAAGCAACCAGAGACCTAATATTGCTGGAAAATACTCTTGAAACATAAGTAAAACTCTGTAAAGCTTCAGAATTGAATGAACATATACATATTCATAAATAAAAAATAATAATTTCCCATAAGAACTCCATATGAAAGAGTTTTTCACTTATATATGGCTAAAAAATTAGCAAGCTGAATTCAGGCAATCAATTCCCTTTCTCTCTTCCTTTTTCCTTGTACCAGAATGTAAATACAATTGAGGAAATATAGTGTACTGAAGCAAAAAAAAAAAAAAAAAATCTGCCTAAGGAGCCTGGCATGTCCTTCCAATAAGTGTCTCATTTAAAATTGGAATCTGTTTTATTCCCTGTTAAAATATGGATTCTTTCTTGCAAAAGGACAATCTCAAAGAAAAGTGGTATTGTTTGCAGTTGTGCTTCACTGTGTTTTATAACACCATCTTTCTACATCTTCCTTATCTGAGAAATCTCAAGTATTAATTTCTTCAATCCAAAGGCATAATGAGTATCACTCATCAAGGCTTTCAAATAAAGTGAACATCATATCTTTGAATAAAACATGCTGTTTTATTTACCGTGAAATTGAGGTAAAATAACAATAATAATTTGTTCAGGGGCTCGATGAAGCACACTTCAAACCACATGGATTTGATCATTCAAAGCAGGATGTTTTGTAATTCCCATTTCATTTTTGTTCTTCCCACACATATCTTTAAAGTTAGTTAAGTCCTCCTCCTAGATTTCAGCAGCCTTGAGGCAACTATCCAGGTCCCTAAGCTAAAATTTATTTACTTCAGAACAAGGGTCATAGACCCAGCTGAGTCAACTTTCTATGGATTTTGATTCTCTGCTCTGTTGCTACAGTCTGTTTTCTCAGATAATTAAGAGGTGACTAAATGACTCGTGTAAATGGGATTATTTAAAGAGAATCTGGTTGGCGCTTATTTTTAGATACATAGGAATGATTTGGATCAAATCAGTGGCCCTCAAATGATGGTTCAAGGACAAATGCTGGGCTCGCTATATCAAAACCAAATGGAGAGCTTTGAAAAGATACAAATTGCATACTATACCCCACGAGTAATGAGTCAAAATCTCTGGAGGAAACACCCAGAAGCTTTTATTTTATTCTTTAACCTTCCCCAGATGATTCTGACAGTAAAGTTAGTAAAGCAGTAGTCCAAATCAGAGCTTGTCAAGTGTTAATATGCAGAAGAATCATCTGAGTTCATTTTTAAAACGTAGATCTTGATGCATCAGGTCCAGGGTGATGCCTGAGATTTTGAATTTGTAACAAGCTCCCAAGTGTCCTTTATTCATGAATTTTGAGTAACAAGGGGCTAGATTACTTCTCATGTTCTTTCAAGCTATGTTTTTCTGTGATTATAAAGCGCCTTGTAGAAATTGCATCATATACTCTTCCCTTACATAAGAATTTTTCATTCAAACTAGAATATTTTTCTGCACATAGGTTTCTTTCCTTTTTCAAAGCTGGGCCAGGAAATAATTGACTTATTTTCTTTTGCTTGCAGGTCTGCCTTTGTTTCCTACTTTTTAGCTTTTGACATATAGCTGAAAAAGTCCCAGAAAGCTGATCTGTCATCCCTGAAGAGTGACGGACTCATTGTGCACTAAAGCAAACATTTCTTCTGTGTGAGCCAAAAAAAGAAAAACGGCCAGCCAGACACCAGTAAAGAGAAGGCTATCAACATATAGGCATTTGAGGAACTGCTATATGACACATTCTTGATCCAAATGGGAGAGAATCAGCTCTCATGATGTCCCAGGGAACCTTATAATAAACAAGAGGGGAAATTGTAGCAGCTTGTCATCTGTGCTTGTACACTAGACTTCCATATAGTTACTATAGACAAATCCAAAGCAAATATGCAGACAGTTCTTTGAAAAATCCCCAAATCATATGTAGAGACTCAGACAGATGTGGTAAAAGGAGGAGGGTTATTTTATACTTGGTATATTCAACCCTCTGGCAATCAATCTTTTAGAAGGAGCAGCAGTTGATTGTGAATTTAGATTTTGAACCACAATTAGGCAAAGATAGTTTCTCTAGAGAGAATCATGCCTGCTAATTACACGTGTACCGGGCCAGATGGAGATAATACAGATTTTCGGTACTTTATTTATGCAGTGACATACACTGTCATTCTTGTGCCAGGTCTTATAGGGAATATATTGGCCTTGTGGGTATTCTATGGTTATATGAAAGAAACCAAACGAGCTGTGATATTTATGATAAACTTAGCCATTGCTGACTTACTACAAGTTCTTTCCTTGCCACTGAGGATCTTTTACTACTTGAATCATGACTGGCCATTTGGGCCTGGTCTCTGCATGTTCTGTTTCTACCTGAAGTATGTCAACATGTATGCAAGCATCTACTTCTTGGTCTGCATCAGTGTGCGACGATTTTGGTTTCTCATGTATCCGTTTCGCTTCCATGACTGCAAACAGAAATATGACCTGTACATCAGCATTGCTGGCTGGCTGATCATCTGCCTTGCCTGTATACTCTTCCCCCTCCTCAGAACCAGTGATGATACCCCTGGCAATAGGACCAAATGCTTTGTGGATCTTCCTACCAGAAATGTCAACCTAGCCCAGTCCATTGCTATGATGACCATTGGTGAGCTGATCGGATTTATAACTCCGCTTCTGATTGTCCTATATTGTACCTGGAAGACGGTTTTATCACTGCAAGATAAATATCCCATGGCCCAAGATCTTGGAGAGAAACAGAAAGCCTTGAAGATGATTCTAACCTGTGCAGGGGTATTCTTAATTTGCTTTGCACCTTATCATTTTAGTTTTCCTTTAGATTTCCTGGTGAAGTCCAATGAAATTAAAAGCTGCCTAGCTAGAAGGGTGATTCTAATATTTCATTCTGTGGCATTGTGTCTTGCTAGTCTGAATTCCTGTCTTGACCCAGTCATATACTACTTTTCCACTAATGAGTTCCGAAGACGGCTTTCAAGACAAGATTTGCATGACAGTATCCAACTCCATGCAAAATCCTTTGTGAGTAACCATACAACTTCTACTGTGACAACTGAATTATGCTAAAAAAAGAAAGAAAAAACAAACTGAATGTGACCTGAAATGCAAGTACATCAGAACATATCTGCAATACCCAAGCCACAGGGAAGAACTCACACACGAAAAAAAAAACACAGCTTTTCAGTTCTGCTCTATCTTACTGCTATGGGGAATTCATGTCTTGAAAGCAGGACCTATCTGGAATATTATGATCCACCACTATTGATGTTGACATGTTCATGTAGTAATTTTTCATCAAGTCTGTAAATCTTAAAATATCAAATTTCTGTGACATCCTATACACATATGCTCTCAATTATCGTCAGTAGTTCTACCTATAAACCTCAGACACAAAAAAAATTATTAGCTTGGAGCTACCATAAGCATTTAGTTTTGTTTCAACAGATACTGAGTCTTTATATGCAGAGGAAATGTAGGTTTTTTTTTATATTAATAATCACAGTATACATGCCATTTTAATATGTTTGGTTATATTTTAGTAGGACAGATGATATATTACCCTGTTTAAAGAAAATGTTATAAACATAACATTTTTATCTCTTAAGTGTGATTACACTTCAAAGTTTGAAGACTAAAATAGCTATTTTCTTCATTTTTGTGTCAACATGAAATATCATTTGTCACACCTGTTCATAGAATGAAAATCCAAACTCAGGCCTCTGTTATATTTAAACTAAGAACAATACACATATTTCCATACCATAACCCTCTGTGACTGTAAAAGATGCCATGTTGCATCCACCTAGGGCAGGTAGTTTGTCAAAGTCCATTCAAAGTGACTCAAATGGCCTCTAGACCTTGGAGAAAGCAAAAAGCAGAAAGGTGACAATCGCTGTTCTAGCTCCCTTACAATTTTTCTAAAGAACACTTCTGTAGATGTATGGACCCGCCTAGTAGAGGAAGTTTTTATCATGCTTCTAGAGTGACATTCAGCTAATGCTGACAGGTTCCTGCACTTTCTGAGCCTATGGAAGAAGTAGTGCACTAATAAATCACTAAACTTAGGCCAGAGTGAAAAGATGAAGCGAAGTTGAGTAATCCTTTTAAAATTCTCATCACGTTGTATCTCTTACTCTAAGGTAAGCACACTTAGCTTAGACTGCCAAGTCATCTACACAAGCCAGAGTAAGTCTCTGTGACTCATCATCACATACATATTACAGTCAGTCACATGGACCTTAAAATCCATGTTGATTGCTTTGGTCTAGCTTTGCCCCAGCCATACCATTCTAAAGCCTCCAAATCCTATCCCTTAGCAGCTGGGAAAGGCAATTATTTTACCATATGAAAAATGTATAGAAGATTAATTTGGTCAGCCTTGGGCAACCAATGACCAATGACTTGCCTGCTTCCTGTTTGGTACTACTGTGTGGGAAACAGACCCAGGATATTAGTCATAATTAAATCTTAGGTTGTAAGTATTAGAATACTTTGAAACATGTTTTAGCAAAAAGCTCTAACGTTAAGAAAGTTCTACTTAAAATTTGTGTGCTATATAATGAAGATACCTTCTATGTCTCATAGAAGGAATGTGGAACCCAATCAAAGACTTTATCATATTTAGAGAAAAGGGGTTGTTTTAGGCATACAGTTATGATACTAATACATTAGGGGGAACACTGGTGACATAAACATGAATTCTAACATGTAAGACTGTTGGAAAGTTTTCTAAAGTTTTCTTTGGACAAGTGTTGATTTTACACATACGTTGTTATTAAGATAATGCCCTATTAGAAAACTGACTTTGTGCTGCTAGCAATAGTGTATCTATGTGTCTCCTAATTATTCATTGTAAGGTATATGTTTTGATGTGTTAAATATGTTTTCAATAAGTGTTAAATTGTATTTTTAAAAGGGTTACTATAACTGTGTCTTGTCTCTTTGCTTTAAAGTGTCTTTTGTTTGACTGTAATTTAATGTGGTGATGGGATTGCAAGTAATAGTTTTGTGGAATTTTGAAATAACTGTGGGTACTTGTAATGTGAGAGTCTTATCTATAAGATATGTGTGTACTTACTATTTTCTAGATTAGCATGAATTACACTTCTTAAGGTCACTTTGGAAGATGATTTGATTTTATTAACATTGATTTCAGTTTGACTACCTATTTTTTTTTTAAAGAAGAAGGGAAATCTTTTCAGGAGACAATTGACCTTCTTAAAAGAATGGTTGAGGGTAGGGCCCATTTGTTAGGCAGCCCAATTACATCATTCCAAAAAAGGACAAGTATTAAGTGTTCTTATGCTGCTTACATAAGGACACACTTTTTCCCCAGGCCTGCCCATCTAAGTTTGCATTCAGTGCTCTGATTTACTTTATTCACCCCTGCCCTATGGATAAGTTTTGTCTTCTGCTTTATTCCCTTGCTCTCCCAGACAGCAACCTGATCAATTCATTCACGCCATGGTGCTAATAGCTAATGTTAGGTTAATTATTAATTTACCCAGGAATATCTGAATTCCAGGCCTTAAGACTAGGCATTAAACCAAAGTGGTGACTTTCAATGGAGGGCTAATACATATTGAAGCAGACAGACTGGAGGGAAAGATATTTTTAAGAAAGTGGGTCCTACAACACTGCCTTTCATATTGCATATAGTAAGCGGATACCTACTTTGCTTACCATAATGGAGATGCTAACTTTTAAGAAATTAAGAAATGTATCCATGAACATGGCTATCAGTTTCTCAGATGTCTGCTCGTCTTCTTTTCATTTTGCCTCTCTCCTTTCCTACTTTGGGCCCGATTCTCAGCGGAAGTCTAAACTAGTAGCTTCCTAATTTAGGAGTACTGCTGCAGCTGCTATCCAGACAGCAGCCTCCTCTCTGAGCTTCTCCATTCTATGAAGAATCTTTTCTCCAGACTTCTCATTTATCACTCTCTGGGTTCCATGAAATTGTGGTGCAAAAAGTAAACACCCTCAACCATACTAATGTATACTTCAAGATAAATAATGCCACATTTCCTATATATAAAGTTGTTGAATTTTGATTCCCAAATCCATACATAATTATTCCAATAAGAAAAACTTTGAAGTTGTAGTGATTTCTATGTGATAATACTGTCATTATTATTGTTGTTAATATTATTATGTTCAAATGGTTTATATGTTTTCATTGTCACTCAGTTAATCAGCCAATTCTATTAACTGGTAATTCCACAAATGGACGCCATCTGCCCCAGGAGCAACAGACCAAGCCGCCTTGGTCTGAGAGGGTGCATCTGTGGAACTCTTGTGCAACTTACATTTTATGTCACCTTTTGGTTTTACTCCCAAGATAATGTGAAAATGTCGCACTTGGAATTTATTTATGGCCATAACTTATAATATTCATTTTAATAATAAAGATTATCTTTGTAATTACATAGAAATTTTCTGCCTTCAGAAGTTAACATGTACTTGGTCACTTCTTTCAACACACTGATAGACGAGCATTTTTGTTAGTGTCCTCACATGCATGAATAGAAGTCTCTAAGACTCTATTCTCCCTTTTTCTCTTTTAGGTGCACTGTATTCTCAAAAGGAAGGATAAGCCACACCCCCAACTTTACCCCACTCTTGCCACCCATTTCGTCTATAGACATTTTACTATTTATATTCTGCTAAAAATTATTCCCAGTCCTCACTGTGGACAAAGTTTATTGGAACTACTTAAAGCTCTATATTTGTAATGATGGGACAGAGAGAATGTTTTCTTATTCTTAAGGGTTGTTAAGATGTGGCAGTCTGATTTTTTCTCTAGATTGTCGGGGTGGGGAGAACTCATCCTCTACTGTCCCTCTCTACTCTTCTCAAAACAGATCTACTTAAACAACAACAGCAACAAAAGTGTGAAGTCAGAAAAATTGTCTCTGACTCTTCCTTCAGCGTGGCTCTCTTTCTTCTATTTCAATACCTCCTCATCTCACCCATATCCCTAGTATGTTCAGGACCCCAAATATCTTCTATCATAACCAAATTTTTAGGAATTACACATTTTGGCTGTGGCAAAAATATTTTCCTAGGAAGTTGTGAAGGGCTTCCAAAGGAAGAATTTTTGATGCTTTGGTAAACCGGAATAAAATAATGGGATATAAATACGACAGGCCCCATGCTTCAGATGCCCTCAAAACTCATAGAGACCTCTTCTGTTCCCTCCTGAAGACCATCCAGAAACAACTTCACTGTCTTTACCAACATATTTTGATGGAGTGGTGGAGATAGGGGAGGAGGGAGTAAGAGATAAACTCTCAAGCAAATGTGGCTATTTCCACTTGCTGATTTATCAGTTATTAAAGGATGTGGTATGGGGAGGGGGAGAGCTAATTGTAATTTTACTAAACTTCACAGGCCATTTCCTCTTCTTCAGGACTTCTTCAGCCTTAACCACTAATTCAGCCAAATAATTCAAGTAATAGAAATATGCCAATACTATATTTTTTTCTATTGTTTTTGAATAATTATCTTCATTCTACTTCTTACTGCAATGCATATCTTCTGATTTAGCTATAGGCATAGTGCTATCCAAAGCCTTCCATTGCCTTCTTGTATTTCTTCAAATAATAGACAATCGCTCCACAAGGAAGGCTGTCATTAGGCCTGCCCTTCTGAACCCAGCATATACTTTTATTGCAGGAGCTCTTCAAGTTTTATTCTGTCCCATAGTAGTGAGATTTTTCATATTTTTCTAAACAATGCTGAGTATCTACAACTTGTAAGAAGACTGGTAGCATTCATTATCTTTTAAAATGCTACCCCAATAAGAGGACAAAAATAAATAAAAAGAGTTTGAAGAAATGATGGTTCAAGTTATGGCACTGGCATGGAAGCATAGAGGAAGTAGCCATACTATAAATTATCCACACCATCTTTGCATGACATAAATCACATAATAACAGTTTTAAAATGTTCTGAAATCACATTACTGCCCTCTGCCATTAAACAAACTTAACTTTTTTACTAAAATGCATATAAGGGGATAATACCATGAAAAAAGTAACGCGGTAAACTTTTTTACTATGAAAAACCTAAAACATACTCAAAAGCAGAGCAATGAGTATAATGAATGCCCATTATTTAACTTCAACCAATATCAACACATGGCCCAGTTTTTTTTCTTGTATGTCTGCCTCCAATCCCCTACTCCAGATTATATTAAAGTGCATTTCCATTATATAATTTAATCTATGAATAGTGTAGTAAGTCACAGTATCATTTAAATGAACTAATTAATGTACGATCAAAAGGTGCCAAGGAATAAAATTGATTATAGATGTTTTCAGTAATGACATTGAACACTAAATTCCAAAAAGTAGAAGAATTTCCCTTTGATTAATCTGAACAAGCTTCAACTCAGATAATAACATTTATTAACCTGAGTCTGTTTTCTTTAGGTAGTCGTTTTTTCTGTTTCAGAAATGTAATGAAGACTAATGCTGAATTCAGTTCAGGGATTCATTGGTCCAAATTATGGCTCCCATGAGAAGGAGACCAGTACACTTAGCTCTACTGAATATAAAAATACCAATGCTAACAGACTACATTTCTACATTGTAGACAAAATGGTCCACTAAACAATACTCATAGAGTAGTATTAGAATGCATCTATGTAAATATGCACTCTAAATGTTTCTGAAGCTTATGTCATAGTTATGTGAACCCTGTGAATACTGCTCATAGCTAGGTGGGTAGACTTCTGTAAAGTTTCCTCAATAATTCCACATTTTCTGCCTTTCAATTTCTTCTGATAAGAATAGATTAATTAGGCTATGGGTTCAACTGTGGTTAACAGAAGTGTAGCTTAAACTACACACAAATGTATTTCTCTTTCATGGAAAAGTATTAGCCAGCATGGTGGCTTTTCTTTGCAAGATATTTTGGACCTAGACTTCTATATTGTAACACCAACATTTCTTGGGTGTTCCTCTAATCTCAATGTTGCAAGATATTGTTTAAAAAAATAATTGGGGTATCACATCAAGTTAAAAAACTTCTGCACAGCAAAGGATACAATCATCAAAGTGAACAGACAACTCAAAGAAAGAAAATATTTGCAAACTACCCATCTGACAAGAGATTAATAACCATAATATATAAGAAGCTCAAACAACTTTATAGGAAAATATCTAATAATCTGATTCAAAAATGGGCAAAAATTTTGAATAGACATTTCTCAAAAGAAGACATACGGTTTGCAAAGAGTCATATGAAAAGTTCCTCAACATTATTGAACGTTCAGAGAAATGCAAATCAAAACTATGTTGAGATATTACCTCACCCCAGTTAAAATGACTTTTTTTCTAAAAGGCTGACAATAACAAATGCTAGCAAGGATGTGGAGAAATGGATGTGGAACGCTTGTACACTTTTGGTGTGAATACAAGTTAGTACAACCACTATGGAGAAGAGTTCGGAGGTTCCTCAAAAAAGTAAAAATTGTGCTACCATAAAATCCAGCAATCTCACTGCTAGATTTATACCTGAAAGAAAGGAAATCAATTTGTCAAATAGATATCTGCACTCCTACATTTGTTGCAGCACTGTTTATAATACCTAAGATTTGGAAACAACCTAAGTGTCCATCAACAGGTGGATGGATAATAAAAATGTGTTACATAAACACAATAGAGTATTATTCAGCATAAAAAATAATGTGATTCTGTCATCTGCAACAACATGGATGCAACTGGAGATCATTATAGTAAGTGAAATAAGCCAGATACAGAAAGTCAAGCATCGTGTGATCTCACTTGTGGGATCTAAAAATCAAAACAATGGAGCGCATAGACATTGAGAGTAGAAGGATGGTGACCAAGAGACAGGGAAGTGTAATGGGGGTAGTTTTGGGGAGGTGGGGATGATTAATGGGTACAAAAAAATAGAAAGATTGAATAAGACCTACTATTTCATAGCACAACAGGCTGATTTTAGTCAACAATAACTTAATTGTACATTTTAAATGAACTTGAGTAGTATGATTGAATTGTTTGTAACTCAAAGGATAAATGCTCAGGGAGATGGAAACCCCATTCCCCATGATGTGCTTATTTCACATACCATGCCTGTATCAAAACATCACATGTATCACGTAAAAATATACGCCTACTATGTACCTACAAATATTCCCACAAACAGTGTATGAGGGCTCCCTTTTCTCCACATCCTTGCTAGCATTTGTTACTGCCAGTCTTTCAGAAAAACAAGTCATTTTAACTGGGGTGAAATAATACCTCATCATAGTTTTGATTTGCATTTCTCTGAACATTTAATAATGTTGAGGACCTTTTCATATGGCTGTTTGCCATTTGATATACATTTTTTGAGACAGAGTCTTGCTCTGTCACCAGGCTGGAGTGCAGTGGCACGATCTCGGCTCACTGCAGCCTCTGCCTCCCGGGTTCAACTGATTCTCCACCCTTAGCCTCTCGAGAAGCTGTGACTGCAGGTGTGCAGCACCATGCCCAGCTAATTTTTGTGTTTTTAATAGAGATGAGGTTTCACTCTGTTGGCCAGGATGGCCTCGATCTCTTGATCTCATGATCTGCCTGCCTTGGCCTCCCAAAGTGCTGGAATTACAGCTGTGAGCCACTGCACCTGACCATCTACAAATATTTTTAAAAATTAAAATAAATAAATGGGAGGTCCTTGTGTAGAAATGGCTCTAGTCCCTTGGGTTCCTACATAAGCAAAGTGAAGCCTAATGTAACAACAAAATGAAACTTAAACTTAACCAATCAGAAACTGCCAAAACCCTTTAACTAGGGACTTTCAACCCAAATAAAGCAAATTCCTATCTATAGCCAATCAAAGTGATTTATTTACTTTGCCTCACATTCAACCTATAAAAGCCTACTACTCACACTACTAAAGCAAAGCTCCCTAAACCTCTTCTGTTTCTGGGTGCTGCCCAATTCACAGATTGCTCTTTGCTCAAACTCTGATAAATGTAATTTGTGTATAGTTTTCTTTTAATCATATCACATTGACACTGTAGCTAGTATGATTGATAAATGGGGAAGAGGAGGGATGCCTCTTCCCTTTAAGTGGATGACCAGAAATTGTGAATATTCTTTCTGCTTGTAAGCCACTGGCTAAAAATCACCTATGTGGCCCTGCCAAGCTGCAAGGGAGGCTAGAAATTATAGTCATTATTCAGGTGGCCATATGCTATTAGATATTACTTTTTTATGGAAGAAATGAAAAATAAATATGGGGACACAGTGTGTCCCTATCATTCTAGGTATATCAAAGGCACCAGCAATGTAATCTGCCTTAAAAATGCCATCTAAACTACAAACCTCAGTAGATCTTTGTATGTTCATTCCATTTTTTCAAAACACCACTTTCCTCTAATAAAGCCACACCTTTTCTTCCCCATTGGGGTTATCCAAAC